AAAGCGTCCCATTCATAAAGCTGTCTTAGCACAATAAAGCGAGACCATATGTGCAGTAAGCAAAAAATCATACAACGCTCGCCTTTTGAAGCTCACTTTGAACGTCTTCCAAAAACTGAATTTAAAATTTTAAGGGATGAATTCTCAGTCAACTCTGATCATTTAGATAAAGAGCACCTGGAGCGATCGGCCCTCACGGCTTCACAGTTGAAGAACGTGCGTAAGGGTAAAAAAGTCGTAACGTGAGTACGCTGTTTCAACATCAAGTGCAATCAGCCAATGATCGAGATCGAGCCCGGGCTTTAAAGACTCTCCTGGAAGCAAACGCCCGATAGAATTCCAGACGAAGGGATACATCTGCGAACGATATCAGACGGATAGTGGAAGAGACCAGTACAATCAATCATGAGCTGATAAAGGAACTTCTTTACTCATGGGAGCACGGTTTATAGAGGATAAACCGCAAGAGCAATCTAAGAATTTTTTCACAAATTTTTCTCAGAACATAGGACGAATGAAAAGGCCCTAACAAACCCGTTAAAGGGGAAAACACTCTCAGAAACGCCTTCCACTTTCAAGGGGACGCTATATCGAATAAGTGACATAGCTCCATCTAGAGTAAACAATAAATCGCCAAAGAAGCAGGAAGAATCAGAAAAAGGAAAGAGTCTCACTGCCGAGGAAGCAAAGAGAAAACATCAACAGAAAACAATCAGTCCACCGCTGGCGGAGAGCTAATCGGAAGTTGAGATGCTGCATTAACAGCAGAAATTGGAGCAAGAAACGAATAGAAAGCTATTTCAAAACAGCCCGTCAACCGTGACATCCAAGGATACAGGAGTAGGCGGGGGTTTGAATTTGGCAATAAAAAGAGCGAAACAAAATAATGTAGGACCGATAACAAGAATCCCAAGAACTCAAGAGGGGGGTACACTCAAGAAGAGAGAAAAGAGACCAACGGTCCATGAGGCGAGAAAGGCCAAAGCGGCATCAGCAGCCAGTGAGAAACAAAAACCGGACTACCATAGCTCTACGTCACTTCCAAGCTCATCGAAAGCAATTTTACTGAGCTCATTGACACCTGGAAAAAAGGAAATAGGGAAATTGAAAGAATTCACCCGCCAGACAACGCCAGAGACAGTCCTGGGAGCTTTTCAAAATCAAGACATGAAGTCCGAAGAGTGGGAGAAGCTAGCTGATCAAGTACTCACCCGAGGTGTACAAAGACGGTCCAAAAAATCCTGACGTCAGGAGACGGAGCAGCAGAGGAAAATCGACCTAAGACTCCTCCAGGTTTTTCCGACGAGTCGCGCCAGGAAGAGACTGATGGCTCCACATTAGTGAGACGAAGCGAAAGACAAACAAAGAACCAATAACCACAACGGTACGAAGAACCGGTATAGCATTCGCTTAATCTGTTCGCAGGCAGATATCACGGACCTACATAAAGCAGTCCTTAAAGCGTACCGCAAAAAGTTAGTAATGCTCAAGTTTGAATCGGACAAACCAGTGGAGACTAGAATTGGCCTACTAGAAAGGCATTTATTCAGGCGGAAGTTCGGATGCTCGTCTCTGGATATTACCCGAACTTGGAATGCTGCGTGGCGCGTACCACTCCAAATTGAAGCAGCAGAGGAAAACAGAGATAGAGAGAGGCAGAGTAGCAAACTGAAAGAAAAAACCTCTCAAACAAACATTAAACTGAGTAATAAAGCGCCTATATCTACTTAAATTTTATACTTAAGTCATATAAATTTTATTTGTCTTTCGGGGAATGTGGTACAGTAAATGTGCTGCAGTAACCTTGAAGGGTCCATATCGTTATCTGTATACTTATATATTGTTAGTATTTATTCAAGGTGACATTGTGCTGACCTCTAACATTAGAAGACTGAGATTCAGACTGCGGTACATAGCTACGGAACTCAGTTATCCGCCTTTATCTTGTGCCTAGAAAAAGACTTCAGATTTGATACTAAATTTACTATTCGAAGTTTTATCAGTTTTCAATCAGAAGTATAATTAGCTCAGTCGGTATCACAATGCCTAACAGTCACTAGACTTTCTTTCTTCCGAGAAACTACATGCCTTAAATTGAATTTCTCATTTCACGTATAGCTTTTCTTGCTGTTCCGATTTTCAAAAAGAGTGACGGAAAAAACATGCTCGAGATGATTTTTTTCTCCAGAGAAATTTAAAATTTTCAACTAGCATTTTTTGACGGGACATTTTTCAAAAACTATTGTTTTTTTGAGCTCAAACTTAAAAAGATACTTCAGCTGTGATCAGTTTCTGTGAAAATGTAGATGTTTGAAAAAATAGCCAAATGGGCCATGGGGACAACAAACACGCAAAACATATCGTGCTGATCACGCGTAACTGGAGCTTTAATCCTCTTAGAAGTCGTTCCCAAACGGGTTGGGTCAAGCTATGTTGTCTCGTTTAAGTCTACCCGTATCGGGACTAAACTGAATTTTTGAAATTTTTTAAGAGTAGTGTTAGTTTTGAAATGAGGATGATATTATTTTGAGAAAATTGTTTTCGAAAATCAGACCCCACACGCTCTTTTAAGTAGGAAAATATTTCGCATATAGCTAGGTAACAAATAGACCAAATAGCATGCCTCAGATCAACTTGGAACAATTTTTCATACGGATTAACACTCTCCGCTTACGTGCCTACCTGTCAATAGCGCAAAAAAATTTGCGCATGAAATATTCCAATTGGCCAAATTGCAAAATTGAAAACCCCATAACTTTACGAAAAATCATTACAGGAGAAAACTTTTTTCGAATGATTGAAAGATAAAGAAAAAAATTGTCAAAAGTTGCAGGTTGAATTTGTCTTGATGAGACAAACGGCCCCGAGCACAAGTGTCCCCTCAATTTCTTCGAAAATAGTCGGAACAACAGTGCTCGTATATCAAGACAAAGTTTAGATTGTTGCGACTGCTTTTTCAGGTCAGTTCAAAGTTTTTTAATTGAACAATTGACATAGACAAAAAAAAAACATTTTTTTTCTTGAATTTATAACCCCAGATGCAAATGTAAACTATAGAGGGATGTATTTAGCGTCTTGTGTCCAATTATTGCAACCAAATGGCACGATACTCAAAAAAACTCAAGAAAAAGTTATGCACTTTTTAATGTCATCCATTTTTTAAAAACGAACACTGCTCCATATAGCCTGAAACGCAGTCGGAAGATTCAGGGCCTGAAATGCAGTCGGAAGATTTGCCCTGAAACGAGCAGTATTGTTTATTGAGCTAGGGAGTCATTAGAATTTCTTTCTAGCTTCAAAACGCATAAATTGAACAGAGTTGTTGCTGACACCAATAGCACTTCTTGTTATTCCGACTTTCGAAGAAATTGACGGAATATTTGTGCTTGGGGTGGTTATCTTCTAACGCCAAATTTCAAAAATTTTATTAACATTTTTTGACGAATTTTTTATCCTTCGATAGATGTTGCAGTCTTAAAGTCAAATTGAAAAAGGTATTTTAACTGTGATTTTTTTTTGTAAAGTTATGGGGTTTTAAAGATCTCCCATCTGAGAGAACCAACGCGTGATTAACCAACGCGTGAGAGAACCAATGCGTAAGCGGAGACTTAATACGATTTAGAATTCGTTCCAACTTGGATTAAGGCATGCTCTCTTTGATCTATTTAATACTTTGCCATATACAAAATTTATCACTTTCTACTTTACATAGCCTGTGGGTGGTTGATTTTGAAAACAAAACATGAATTGAATTTTTTTAAGTTTTTTTTTTGAAAATTTCAGCAGTTTCCCAGTTTCTCATCCCTTATGAAAAATTTTCCGGTTTCCCATTCCTCATGAAATTACAAAAGAGAATTCGGCTCTTTTCCAGTTTCCCCGCTTTCAAAATACCGAGTTTTATTTTTGTTTCATATGTTATTTTGGCTAAATGCGTGATGCTACGATGTAAAGTATGAAGAACAAATCTGTTCACACGATTTGTTCACCGCGCCAAATTTCATTGCATTATAATAACGTTAAATAAGCTTTTGAAAATTGAATTTGAAAGGGAGGAAACAGGAAAGAGCCGAGAGTTCTTGAAGATTCGTTTAGTCAGAAGTTTGCGTGTAAAAAATGTTGGGAAAATTTGTTCACTTGTTCACGCTGACACGTTTTTTTGCAGTTAAGAACAAAAATTCATCATAAATAGCCTTTTATAAAAAGATTTTCAGAAAAAATCAAAAGAGAACTGAAAAAGTGCCCTATTATTTCGTTTTAAATGAATCCACTTAAATTAAAATGCAGTCGAAACATTCAGGGTTTCGCCCTGATACGAGCAGTCTTGTTCATCTTGATAGCTAAAGCTAAAGGCATCACGAGGCTCAGTTCTAAATAGACCAAAGTTGAAATGAAAAGCGGTATGACTAGAAATTGTTTCATGTTGTTCTAGCTGCACGCTTTTTGATCTGTCGATGAACCAGCAATAAATGTTTTCTTCGTATTTTCAGCTATTTAAATTTTTCTTCTGTGCTCCTCATTGTCAAAACCGGCCGGATCTTTGATTGTCTTTGATTGGATGAAACTCGGCTAGATCTTTCGAGATTATAAAAGCTCTTTCGAGTTGGCGTACCCTGTAGGGTTGAAAGTACCCCCAGTCCTCATTTTTTCCTTTTTCATAAATAACTTGATGGCATTATAGAAAACACCAAAATTGCATTTTATATCTCCAAAGCAGAGCCAAATTTTTCTGCAAAAGGGAATCTCAAGCAAGTGAAAAAAATAATTTAGGTTTGGCTAAAAAATCATCTCAAGCAAGCCGAAACATTTAGGTTTGGCTGAACAAAGTTGAGAGCAATTTTTTTGGGCTGAGAGAGTCGAAACATGAGGTGATGACCCTGGAAAACAAATTCAAACGTGCAAAAGATTCATGATTGTGACAATCCCATTTATGCCAATTCGCCCAAACATCAATTCTCACTTCGAATACATCAACTTCCATTAACACGGGTATGTTAATTTAGCAAAACAGACGGTATTTGTGAGGAATACGTGGGGAGACAGATGTGATAAGACGCTCTACATCTCAGATGAGGCCAACTCCACCTTCCCAACCATCAAAGTGACAAACTACACAGGACACAAACAGTTGTGGGCCAAGACTCGCAACACTCTAGAGCTCATCTACAGGCAATATATCTCCCTTTATGACTGGTTCCTCAAGGCCGATGATGACACATATGTATTGGTGGACAATCTCAAGAAGTTCTTATACTCTAAAAACACAACGAAGCTAGAGTTCTATGGCAAGTTCTTCAGCCCATTTGTCAAAAGTAAGTGCAACGTAAACTTGAAAGGATGGAATACGACAATAGCCTAACGTAACATCAAAGCAATTAAGTTTGATTTTAAAATTATCAATCAGATAAAGATATCAAGAGACTGAAAATTCCGTTGACATTGTGAGTGTAACTTTTTGCATGCGAATTTTGTTTATGAGATAGCCCTCGGGTCACCTATTTTTGCCCCTTTGACTTTAAAAACAAATTATGCATGCGAGAAAGTGATGTTGGGCTAAGCAAAAACTAAGCACTCCAAAAACGGCGCAAAATGGCGTTCTTGGTCTCAAGTTTGCAAAAATGCTGAAAAATTGCCCCCAATAACGCTGAATCTGGGCATTTAAGTCGCTGCAAAAAAGCTGACCAAATGTATTTGGTCGATGGTTGGACTGAAAAGTCCATGAATCTTTTTGAGATGTCTCACCATCACAATCCGACCCCCCTGACCGCCGAATACAATCACCTTCGGTGCTACTTTCTGACATCTATTTTAGGTAGACAAGCGCTAAACTTATAGAAAACGTCTTCGATCGCGATAGTCCAGAATTAATCGACTTAATAATCGCGATAGTCCCAAAATTAGGCAAGGTTAAGCATAGCGATTAGTTGCACTAGTCTGGAAATTAGTTCCAATAGCTAAAAAGGGGCCGTGCTAGTCGCAAATTTGGTCCCAAAACCTAGAAAATATTTCAAGGTGTAGTGTTAAATGTTGTGGCGATAGTCTAGAAAAACAGTTGCGTTATAGTTTTTAAATTGGTCGTGTTAGGTTGAAAATTATTCACAATGTAGTCTGAAATTCGGTCGCAAGGGTCTATGAATCAGTTCCGTTATAGTCAGAAAAATACTTTTGGTAGTCTGAAAAAGAGTTTCAAAAAAACTGAAAATTATTCGCATTAACCTGAAAATTATGTCTGAATCTGAAACTTACTTGAGAATTCCGTCCACGCGTGGTCGGCTGAAATTTGAGCATCGTTTCTTTCTACAGCGAGAGTTATTGTTTTAGCACTGTCCTTGATTTCATCCGATGACCGCAGGTTTTTCTCAAATCTCAGGTTTCACACGGCCTAAGAACCATAAATTGAGGGGATTTAGATCGGGTTTCTGAGGATGCCATAAGCCGCGAGGTTTGTCTGCTGATGATCCGGCCCAGGAGAGTCAATTGCAGCCCATCGAACACAATTTCGGATGATAGACCAGCTTCTCTATATTGTTGAAGTCTCAAATATCACACACTTTTTCGAAAAAAAACAGAAGATGCAACAATGATGTGTTGTTTTTGTTTCATTGTTGTTGTTGTGGATTTGCAGCAATGCTGAAGGGGGGTTTATTAGTCCCAATCGTTATTCGTAAAAAAATGTCCAGTTATTACGATAGTTTTTTCTGGCAATTTTCTGGCAACGGCATATCGCTGTTTTTTGTTCCGACTTTCGTAACAAAAGTAACGGAATATTTGTGCTCGAGGTGGTTTTTTTTCTTCAGATAAATTTCGACTTTTAACTAGCCATTTTTGACGGAATTTTTTAATATCATTCGAAAGGTTTTGTTGTCCTGAGCTTAAATTTGAAAAGATATTTTACCTGTGATCATTTTTCGTAAAGTTATGGGGGTTTAAAGATTACCATTTTGGCCTACTGGGACAATTAACGCGCAATATACTTCGCGATATTAATTTTCCTGTTTTTATTACATTTAATTTCCAATTTTTTCATGTTAGTACTGCACCATAGACCTTAGGAGGCAGTCGGAACATTCAGGGCTTCACCCTGATACGAGCAGTCTTGTTTTAATTAGTGATTTTGCAACTAAAAATCATTTACTTGAAGAAGCATTTGAAGGCACAAGATGTTTAAGAGCCGGAGATGCTTTTTGTATTCTGAGTCTCTGTTTCTTGTTATCGTTCCGACTTTTGATACGAAAGTAACGGAATATTTGTGCTCGGGGTGGGTTTTTTTTCTTCAGAAAAAATTCCATTTTTTTATAACTAGCCAATTTTGACGGAATTTTTTTATATCATTCGAAAGATATTGTTGTCCTGAGCTCAATTTTGAAAAGATATTTTACCTGTGATCATTTTTCGTAAAATTATGGGGTTTAAAGATTGCAATTTTGGCCAATTTGGGACAATTAACGCGCGATATATTTCGCGCTATTAACGCGTAAGCGTAGAGCTAATCCGTCTTAGAAATCGTTTCAAATTGGTTGAAAGAAGCTTATTTGCCATAATTGATTTGTTATAAGGAGCAAAATCTATCCTTTTGTAATTTATATAGCGTGTGGGGGGTGGGGTTGATTTTGATTTAAAAAAATTCAAATTGAAAAAAAAAATTCATTTTTTTATTACATTTAACTTTTCAAAGTTATTACTGCTCCAAAAACCTTTAAAAGCAGTCGGAACATTCAGGGCTTCGCCCTGATATGAGCAGTCTTGTTCGTTTAACAATCTTCTCTTGGAATGTTTCCCAGCGTTAGTAATTCCTTCCGAGTGGATGCTACACATGTAAAACCAAACAATAATATAGGAAGTATCAATGATTTATACAGACCCAGCTTTACGGTTTTCCTATTTTTTACCGAGACTTTCCGCTTTAGGGCAAACAAAACTTTGTTCACCTTAGTCATTCTTTCTTCAATGTGAATGCTCCAAGTAAGGTCTTAAGATACATTTATTCCGGGTGCCGGACAACAAGCCGACGGGACTTCCAGCCAAAGAGGAAAATTAGGGTCAGGAAGCCCAAAATTTGCATGTAAATTTAAAAATAACTTAGAATGGTTGCGGAAAGGAAAAAATTTGTTCCGGTTGAGCTTTTCAGAATAAATACCACATGTTTTAAAGTAGTTTTATTTATTATTTCCTGACTAAAAATGGATTTTTTTTATTGAAGCCAAAAACAAAAAAGGTCAAAATTTAATTATAAACGGATTTATGTTCCAAAGAAATAAAACTGATGAAAACTTTATTTACTTCAAATGTTGTGAAATCAATTGTCCATCGCGTGATACAATGACAGGAGACTAAAAATCGGATTTCAAAAAACCTGGAGAACATAATCACCTCCCCCCAGACAAAAAAATTCAGCAAGAAAATTTTTGGAAAAACAGTGATTCAGAGCGTTGAGCAAAATGTCAGTGGAAGTTTGAAGAAATCGTATGACGAAGCAATACAGGGGACTTCTGAAGGTTTTTTGCCCCCTAAATACGAAAAAATCAGAAAACGCATGAGCCAAAAAAGAGCCGAAGTCTTACCAGAATCTCCAAAAACTTTAGAAGACGTGAAAATTAAGGGTGCATGGCGAAAAACGAAACAAGGTAAAGAATTTGTTCTTCATCAAGAAATTGGTCTCGTAATTTTTGCGACAACTGAAGGCCTAGAATTTTTGTTTCGTTCAATAAACAAACGGTGAATGGATTGTGCCGGTAGTTTGGGCATTTTTGGGCTCAAAAACTGAAGAAATTTACTGTAAATTTTTTTTACAATTTTGAGCGAAAAATCGTTCGAAAATTTTTCGGTCAGTTTGATGCCCGAATCAATCAAAACGGACTATGAAAACGGGGTTATTGCAGCTGTCAAGAAAATTTTCGTAGTATCTACTCATTGAGGATGCTGGTTCCACTTTTCCCAATGTATATTTCGAAAATTTCAAGATTTTGGTCTTCAAAAATGCTATGAAGACGAAAACCTGAAAAAAATTGCGCAAAATTTTTTCAGTTTAGCGTTTTTGCCTGAAAATGAAATTGAAGCCGCCTTCGGAGGTTTTGAGGCCGAAATCGAAGAAGACCCGATTTTTTTGCGATACCCAGAAATCGGACAAATTTTCGCTGACATGTGGAAGTTTTGGATTTTTGGCCGAATTCCTTTAATTTTATGGAATGTGTTTGATCGACCCTTAAATTTGAGGACAACCAACAAATGTCAGAGCTGGAATCGTGACTGGAACGCATCTGTGGGGACAAAAAATCCCGTTTTTTGGACGGTTGTTCAAAAACTTGGAGAACAAGAGCAATATTCGCGACTCGATATACGACGTATTTCTCGAGGAGAGGCATCTAATATTCAAAAAAAAGAAGTATCGAGACCTCAATGAGAAAATTTCCCGCCTTAGAAACTCATACTTAGATGGAACTTTGTCTTTGAAAACTATTGGGATGGTGTTTCTAATATTTGCAGTAATTTTCGTAATTAAATATCGTATAAACGGTTAGTATTTGCGGTTAGTTCGTTCAAATTTGCTGTTTGAAAAGTGACTATACATCTGAAGTATTAGTTTTTCCTGTCCGTGAAATGAAAGAAGTTTTTAAACACTTTTGAAATAACCCTCTATTACAAAACGAAATAACCAAAAATGGTAAAACTGATTATCATCGCAACTTAGTTGAAAATTTTGAGCTAGTGAGTATCAGTTCATGAACAAATGAGACAATAATTGAAACATCAAGGCAAAAACTTCAGGCGAAAGGTAAGAATAACAATACTAGAAAAGCTCAGTCCTGAATAACCACAAACTTTTCCGCTAAATGTTTATACGGGACAAAATTCAGACTGTAATTTCTTAATGCCGAGGAAAATTACTTGAAGCTTTTTCAGTCGGAATCAGTACTAGTATAGCTTCACAGTGATATAAAACCCTCCCCTCAGGGATTCGACCCCGTGCCAAACCAAAGGGTCCCCCTTTGTAATATTTCGAGATATCAATTTTTGGCTGTTTGACCATAAATTTTCTCAAAAAGCTCCTTGGGCGCCAAAATATTCTAAATTTGAGGGGGAAGCGCGCGCCAAAAAAAAGCAATTTTTTGGTCAAGTTTTTCCAAAAAGGGCTTAAAAACGCCTTTTTTGGCTTGTTTTTTTTCAAAAATTTGTACAAATTTCTTACATGCAAAAATCCATGTGAACAATTTTTGAACAGCTTAATTTTGCAATTTTACCAGAGGAAGGGGGTGTGAAACTAGAAAAGAGCCCGCATAGCATCTCTTCGGTCGCGGTGGTCTAGAAATAACCCTTCTTTGGTCGTGATATCTTGAAAGCATCGCTGTTTAGTCGCAATAATCTGCACAAATGACTACAAGTTCAGAGTACCTTTTATGTATCGATTCAGGTGGCTACCCCAGTGGAGGCGCTGGATACGTCATGGGCAGGGCGGCTCTGAAACAGTTAGTCACAGTTGGCTTCGAGGTCGGACCCAACTGCCCCCCTCACAGTGAACCCAAAGCAGAAGATATCCTGATGGGCAGATGCATGGAGGACTCGGGGGTGCGACTGTCGAAGGAAACAGTTGACGAGGGGGGAAGAGAGCTGTTCCACTCTTTCTCCCCCCAAAGAGAGTTCATAATACCCTGGGAAAAGATAGGCTTCTACAGACAGTTCTCCATCCACCCTTTAGGAGGTGACTACTGCTGCTCTAAAGATGCAATCTCGTATCATTATGTACATGGACCTGAGATGCTTTTTTTAGATTACCTGTTTCATAACATGACCAAAGTTTTGCTCTAAATCACCCAGTTCGTACAGTTTGATCTCCTAGAATTATTTAACTTTTCAAAAAATGCTAAGTTTTAATTTATCGTTTGGTACAAAATTGTATCATTTGTCGCTAAAAATTGCAAAAATCAATCCCGTTTGATTATGTTTGTGCCAATTTAAGCTGAATGTTTTTTGTGACGTCGTTCCAACTACTGTTACATAGCCTAATAGAGAGATTTAATGGTGTTCTTTTCTGTTATTTTAATATTACGAGGCCACATTGAGTATATTTTGTAAATTGAAAGTGGATCCCGCAACAGGCCGAAAACAGATTTTTCGAGGAAGCCGCAACTTTAATAGTTCCTGTTTGGAAAAAAAAAACAGGTATTGCGAAAAGTTATGGGATCAAGTTTTTCTATTATTTTTTGAGACGTTTTGAAATTTTTTAAAATATTTTTAAAAAAATAACTTTTCTTATAAAACACTCTTTCGTTTTTCAAAAAAGTGAAACCAATGAGAAAAACGCCCACTATCCTGTCTGCCTACATAACTCCTTAGTCTCTTCTTACGTCACCCCACTTTCTACAACCTTCGGAAAGTGTGTGCGGGGAATTTTTAACCCACGTTTTTTTTCTCAAAAACTACCCTCCCAAATCTGAGAATTTAGGTTCTCAGCTCATTTCCACAAGCGCCTCCGCCCAAATTCGTTTACATGAAAGTTATGGCCGTCAGAATAATCAAATTTTTGGTTTTTGAGCGGTTTTTCAAACTCTCAAAAACCCTCCTGAATTTGAGATTTTGTTTTCAATGGATAGAAGAAGTTTTGGAAAACTCCCATGCATAAGCGGTTACGCCGTTTTCTTACACATGACCAACGGAAAACTCAAGTTTTCGATTTTTTGACCGTTTTTGAACCTTTTGATTCTTCTCGAAAACAACTCAATCTGAGATCAAGGGTTTAATTGAGGCAACATATTGTGGGAAAACATAAAATGATAAGTCCTAAATTTACTTTCAAAAAAATTTCTCTGCGAAAGCTCCAAAGCAAAAAGGTTTCGCTGATATTTTAATAGCAATAACTAGATTTTCAGCGAAGCCCAATTTTGAAGTTTTTGAAATAACCTACTTCGTCCCAGTACAACAAAAAAAATACCAAACATGTACATTTATTTTGGCAGGGCGTCAAGTTTTCTCTGGTATTTTTGCTGTTTTAAATTCCATAAACAATGGCTAAAACACTGTGTCATTCAAAATTGCTTCAAGAAAAGATGAATTTTTGGAATCCACAAAAAGAATATTCGTTCTATTATAAATTACAACTTTGCGGAATCCGTTTCCTTTCGCGAAATCCGCTTACAGATGTGGAAACCATTTAACTTGTTTTTTTTTAATTCTCTCTGTATTGGCTAAAATTAAGGTTATTGAGGCATTCTTTCTACAAGTTTTACGTTATACTGGCGCATTTTGATGATATGTTTCATTTTATTAGATGGTGTTTTTTAATGCACTTTTTTGCGTTTTATCGAAGTTCTACTGCATTTTGTGCTGAAAAAATTACTATGGTGTTTATTTCAGGTACCGGATAAACTGAACGAAAACAGATTTATCTTTAATTTTGATGAAATAATTAAATATCTCATTTTTAATTGAAAAAGTATTTTAACTGATTTTTCGTTTTGCTTATATTTTTTTTGATGTAAAAAAAGTAATTTCTGATTGGCTTGATTCCGGAAAGTTTTTCAAATTGCAAAGTTGCAAGCTTTGTTACATCTAATTTTAGTCAAGGAAATCAAACACCGAGTGTACCTTTTTGAAGGAAATTGTTTCAAAACAAACGTCTTTTTCAATAGTGCTTACATTATAATCAAGAAAATTTGAAACCATCGTTTGAAAAGACAACTTCGCTTTTTTCACAACTCCACGCCTATTTTTTCTCTTGAAAACAGACATCATTGCTATAGAGTATCATTGAAAATATCATGAACTTTGAGAAATTTCCGTTGCTTGTCACTAAGTAAATGTACAATTTGAGACCAGGGAAAGCAAAACCATCTGATCAAATAAAAACAACTCGTTCAAAATTTGAACAAAATACTTCAACCAATCAAAATATAAAAGCTGCGACTTCGACCAGCATGTTGAAGGAGCTTTTTATACGCAGATTTTGATACGTGCCGTGTCTGCTTTGTTGTAATGTTCGACCCCTTTTTTCTTTGTTAATTTTTTTTGCTCATCAATTTCTATTCAGAAAAAATTTATTTAAAACAGATTTTATTTCGAATGCAAAATTTTTATAACATTTGAAAGATAAAAAGGTCCTGAGCTCAAAATTAACCTTGGCATTATCCGTAATTGGCATTATCCGGCTCCAAAGATCTTAAGAAGCAGTCGGAAAATTCAGGGTTTCGGCCAGTATGAAATAATTAACGCGATATGTTTCGTGCTTTTAAAGCTTAAGCGGAGATTTAATCCGCCTTTAAGAAGTCGTTCCATATCGATTTGAGGCATGAAGTTTGTTCTATTAAAATATTTGACTCTTTTTCGCTTCTCCCCCCAAATTCCATTTTCATAGTTGTTTTGACGTGCTATAATTGCCAAATGCGCGATAATACATGTTAAGGTATGGAAAGCAAAACTGACAATTTTAAAATTTTTCAAAACTTCCACTTCTTCAGAAATATTAGAGGTCAGTTACAGGTGTCAGAGCCAGGGGCGGATTTAGGGGGAAGGGTGCGGGAGGGGGCGTACGCTCCTTCCACCTCCCCCTCAAGGATTCGATCTCTTATCCTTCGGTATTATTTTATGACATCCATTTTAGGCCAACCAACCCTAAATTCTTTCTAAGGGCCCTTTGGTGCCAAATATATAGTAGCTTTGAAAGGGAGCACGCAGCAAAAAGAAAGCAATTTTTTGTTCAAAATTTTTCAAAAAAATCCCAAAAACGGTTTTTAGGCCTGATTTTTAAATTTTTTTAGGTCAAAATATGGTCTTTAGATTGTCCGGGAGCGTACAGAAAATCAATTTGGTCGACCTATTAAAAAGTCAATAAAATTTTAGGGAAAATTTTGAAAATCCGCCACCCCTTCGAGAAAATCCTAGATCTGCCTCGGGTAAAAACTTTCAGTTTTTTGCCCAGATACGAGCAATCTTGTTCGAAATTACATGCAAAGGATTTTTAAAGTATTGGTTTTTTTTTAAAAATGGCATGCATCAATCAGTTCATTTTTATTGGCTCTTTTTCTTCACATTTTGTTCAGATGCTATTTCTTATTTTGAGGAGGTTCGTGAACATCAATTTGAAAAGTGTGAATAACTTTGTGAATTTCAACACTTAAAAACAATTGACGAAATTATTATCCGTACTGCATACCCTAAATCCAAATTTTGATTTTTGCGACAAGCGCTTTTCAAAAGTAAAATTACTAAATTACTATATTTGTGGAAAAAATTAAACAAAATTTTGATTTGCAGCGTATAAAATGCCAATTTCTCAAATCAGGAACGGATTTTGTAGTCAGTGTAGACATTCATTGTGAGTCTCTAATTTTTTTAATGAAAAATGGTTGTTTTAAACACTAAATTTTCAAGTAACTGATTAATTCGATACTATATTTAGCAAAGCTCAGGCATCAATGCTCGGTTAGTGCAAAGAGTATATCAAAATTTTGAGCAAAAGAGATTTTGCGAGTTCTTAAAAAATTCAATTTGAAAATAAAAAACATTGTTTAACTTTTCCCACTATAGCATCATACCAAAAATCTCATGAAGCTGGAAATAGTTTTACTTATTATTTGGACTCCTTCTCTCACGAATGCTTTTCGGCGAGGTGATGTCAAAGATTGTACGTATGAAGTGGTAGAAAACATCAACTTGTTCAGGGAAGACAACCAAGAGATCAAAATGACACCAGAAAAGGACTTTTTTCGTGATGTACTGGTTGATCTGGCAAATGCTAAGGATAACGATCCCACACTTGATTGCAAAAGTTATGACCAAAAGTTGCCTCCAAGCTTCGGCTATTTAATTTTAAATGAATGTCTTGAACTACATGAGGTTTCGGAATATGGACCAACAATTTTAGAATTGGCAGCTCACAAGTTGATTAATCTTTGGACTATCAACATGTCTCAATTCTACAACTATCCAGGAGAAGCGATCGGATATGGAGATGGATGTCAATCTTCTCTTCCGGGAACCTCTAAAATGAAAATACAGCGTCATCTGACTATTTTTGCTAATATGATTGAAGAAATGTCCTGCTACTGCTTGGATGATAAAATGTCACCTACTTTTTTCAAGGTTTATATGTTCTGCGTGTTAGAACAAGACTACTTCAAGGAGAACAGGCATAAGCCAACAAAAGAATCTGTATTCGATTATGAAAGGTTCTTAAAAATACAGAACACGTTCATGATACCCTCGAAAGTTTGTCCAACAGTTTCTGGTTTTAATGCGCAAATTATAGGCAAAATTAATGAAATTCGTGGTCCTGGTCGCCATTTTGACCCTGGAAGTGTGAACCCAGAGTTAGACCAATTGGTGGAGAAAGTAATGTTCGAACTTACCGAAGATTGTGAAGTGAATGACAAACCCTCTGGTTCACACTCAGTGGCCGTATTTTGCCTGCAAGCCAGTCAGGAAGACAGAAACAACCATATAAGGGTGATGAACCTTGGTTTGAGGGAATGGCTCCAGGACATACATTCGTTCGTGTAAGAACCATAGTTTGCACAAGAATTGAATTAATTAGAAAACTGAAACAAGGCTGCTTGTATCAGGGCGAAGCCCTGAATGTTCCGACTGCTTTTTAAGGTCTATGGAGCAGTAATAGCATGAAAAAATGAAAAGTAATAAAAAAAGAGACATTTTTTTTATATAAAAATATCAGATTTTTTGTGAAAATCATCCCCCACACGCCATATAAAGTACAAAGTGATAAATATCGCTCCAAGTAACAAGTCAATTATTGTTACGACTTTCGATACGAGTAATTTTCTGGCAACGGCATATTGCTGGTTTTTGTTCCGACTTTTAAAAAAAGTAACGGAATATTTGTGCTCGGGGTGGGTTTTTTTCTTCAGACAAATTTCGACTTTTTAAATAGCCATTTTTGACGGAGTTTTTTTATATCATTCGAAAGGCATTGTTGTCTTGAGCTCAAATTTGAAAACAAGTTTTACCTGTGATCATTTTTCGTGAAGTTGTGGGGGTTTATAA